GCGCGGCTGCTAGCAAGCTTCTCGTGGTGGTGCTACTAGGAACAAGGCTAGGAGTTCTACCAGAAGCGGTAAGCGTAGTTCGAAGTGAAGCTGCTCCTCCTGGTGATGAAGTTGTACTTGCCCGTTTCACGACATCGCAACTAGTTGTAGGTGTGCTGTAAGCTCTTCGACCAATACAACTGCTACTGCTGCTAGAAGATGATGAAGTCCCGCAGCCGCTCAAAAAAGGTATCGCCGTAGACGCTATGCTTCTTGATGGGTTATTGTTATGCCTTCTAGGCATTATAGCTCCAGTAGCCATCTGAGGAATAGCGCTGGAGATGGCTCGAGCTGCATTCTGCGAAACGAGCCTCGAGAGGCCTCCACAAGCTGGCTCCTTTGCGAGGAGATAAGCTGACATGTTGTTGTTGATTCTCTACTACTTACTAACAAGTGAATACTATGATGTACTTCTATGCCATAGCAAGAGCGCTATGATCTTACAATAAGAAGCACACGACAAAAATGCAAAACCTACAACAGGAACTTCTTGCATGATATCATGTTGGACGTGTTTTTGTATTTTACTTTTCGATATTGCGTGAGAGTGATCAGGATTACATCAACTGTTTTCACCACCATTATTGGTTTTGGTTGTGATTCGTCATCTACATCAGATTCCAATTTCATCCATCGGATTTTTCCATTTTTGTTTTTTGGCTGCTGGTAACTCAGTCCTCACCACGCGTTTCTGGTGATCATCTTTTAGCACTAGCGAGACAAGGTAGTTCCTTTACAGTGAGTCTTCTTTCACCTTTGTTCATTCATTCATTTCGCCTTTGTTCACGGGAAAGGACACACTCTGACCCATTCTTGCAGACGAACAAGCATTTTATCCACTGAACGGGTCAGCGATCCCGTAGGATAGGGTAGGAGTTGGCTCGCCGTCCACAGTTTGACCCGTTTCTACTAGTTAGAAGTTTCATCATTTCTAGGAAGACCTTGCCATCGATTGCAAACAGCGGGAATGTTGGGAGTCATTCTGACCTAGGCTTATGGTCCTTACTAGGGCTGCGTAGTAGATCATTGCAGGAGCACGACCATATGATTTAGTAGTTACAAGAATTACAAATTCAAGACTTGAATTTCAAGTAGGGTAGAACGTAAACTTTGAAATGAGGCAGAATCCATAGGATAAAACGGTGAAGAGTGAATGTCAGTTCTGCTTCTGTACAGGAAAACAAATAGGATCTTCGATATGATTCATTATCAATTCGTTATGTCCTGATGTGAAGTAGACGAAGGACTTTGATAGGTATTTTTCCATTATATTCTTGAGGGTACTTCTATTTTCCTCGGTTGTAGTACGAAAAAAAGTGCATTAAAGAGTACAACCATGTTGATCGGCTAAGTAACTTCAACTTGTGATGTGCTGATAATGTCAGTACGACCTCTACAACGACCACTAATGCGAGAAGGAGAAGTACAGTAAAGACATCAAGACTGTAATCCTAATCAATCAATCAATGCTCCGAATAAAAACACAATAATTACAATAAAGACAGAGCCTATAATCGTAATCATGACTAAAGTCATTAGCTATGTTGTTGAGGCATTACAGTTACAACTGATCATGATGTTGCAATTATAGGTATAGTACATAACTTTCGACGAATGATTATGCTCAGGTAGGGTAATGTTCGTTGTTCATCTTGCTTCATCTGTACAAAAATGGTAATGGTAAAAATGTTGGCTAGGTTAGATTAAGTATGCAAATAATAGTTGTACCAACCAAAAATGAAATGTCGTGATGCCGATAAGAACAATCAAATTATGCGAGGATCACGACGTTGTTAAGCTTACGACCCGTAACTTCCATATGAAGAAAATATAAATTATATTCATTACTACGAAGTCTAGACGTGTAGGATTTGCGTTGTTCCATGAACATAATGCTTTAGGCTATTCTATTATCCCAGACCCATAGCAGCAGCTTGTAAATGATACTCCTCCCTGCTTTCTAGAAATTTTACTCAGATAAATCTATTCGATTTCGATAACCTGAAATAAGCGCGTAACTACTTAAAATAAGCGAGATACTGAACAAGGCCGAGTAACCCTGTCAAAGCTACCTCCCTTATTTCAGTCAATAACTCGGACATTTTCAGAATTCGAGTAAACTAAGCTCAAGTAGTACTGATGAAAAGCTCTTCGTCGACAGATTCTTCGTCTTCCATCATGTTGATATTATCATGACCATTTATACCTCCGAAGGGTACGAGGCATGATTTCAACCACGTCGTATCCTCATCTTCAAAAAATGGGTGACGCAAAACATCGTTCATTGCGATACGCTTTTCTGGGTCATAGGTAAGGGCTGCTAGAATCAATGATTCCGCTCTCTCCGCACGTTTTCGCGCACGCTGGATCAGCGATTCCGCTGTTACAACTTTCCCTTTGTTCGACGAAGGACGTCCTAGTCCACTTCCACCACGTCGCTCTTGTTGACTCGTCTTGCCCGGATAATTCTTGCCACCAGTGCTTCTAGCCGGCTCGACATCGCTCTTCATGGGTGATGCTAGACCCTCATGCGCCAGTGGAGACCGAGGAGAACGATGGGAGGAGGACGAAGAAGATTGTGCTGTCTTAGAAGAGGAGGTCCCAAGGTCTGACTTCTCCTGAAGGTTAAGAAGAGCCTCCCTTGGGTTCACATTGCCAGGAGCCATGAGTCGAGCAGCTGTTCTTGAAGTTTTCTCCCTGTTCTTCTGTTCATCATGATCATCTTGTTGGTCTTGTTCACCACGATGTTTCTCCATGTCCTTTACTGACTTCTGATCTACTTCACCAGAAAATGGCCTCATCTCTTCATCTTCATCTTCATCTTGTTCTCCGTCCTCTTCAGGAAAGCAGGATGGGGTATGTGGACCGCATTCCTCTAAGAGTGGCGACCACAACAGTCTGCCACAGCTGCTGCGATTCCGTTCTCGTCGGGTTTGCTCGAAAAAGGCAGTGGAGAATCGCTCAAAAGTGACCTCGTACAAGCGTTTTGGAATGTCTAAGTGATATTGCGAAGTGAGGCGGAACTTCTGTTCTCGCGCATTACGACCAAAGAGTTCTCGCACGTGCTTGCTCTCGACCGCAACGGCCCGATCGATAAGGGTCAGCGGCATGGCACCCAGCTCACACTGTGCCTCGAACAAGTGCATCGCGCAAAACTCGATGGAAGGGTTGCAAACTGCACCATTGCGCGTCTCAAACGTCTCCTTCTGCCATTCTTTGTCCAGTCTCTGCGGATGCGGTTTCCGCACTAGACCAGCGTTCTTTGTGCTGCTCATCCACTCTAATGGATTCCAATTTAACAGCCGCTCACCAGTCAGTATCTCATGCACGATCTCGCCGAAAGACCATACGTCGATCGCCGTGCCTACTTCTCCGCAGCCAAGATAACACTCGGGAGAGCGATGATTAGAGCTCACCCCATTCCATCTCGGATCTGTTTTTCTCTTATCGAACAGCTTAGTTATGCTTATATATACTGGTGGAGCCAAGCTAACTAGGAAAAGAAAAAGGAAGGATAGTAGGGGAAGCCTTAAGATAAAACGGCGTTTGAATATTCGTTTCACCCTTCGCAACACGGACACCTGGCGTATGGTCTGCTGACAAGCGAGACCCAACGTTGAAAGGGACAGCTCGCGCTTCGCCGAAATCGCCAACGCGGAGATCCTGACAGTGAAGATATTGAGAGTAGTGCACTTTCGTTGGTTTGTTGATCAGGAGCGTTATATATAGAAGAAAAAGGAAATTCCAGTACATCTGTAGAACATGATCAACAAGGAATAAAAGATAAAACAAAAACTACAAATGCAAAAGGAAAAGTATTGTTTGAAGGGCTAAGGCGATAGAGGCAAAAACTAAAAACCGGTCGCAATCGAGAGGAAAAGTAAGTACCGCATGTGTCATAAAGCGCTTCAAATTCTCGCCGGTTGCATCAGTTCCACTACGCTGGTTCGGAAACAGAAGGAGGTTTGCTGGTTTTATGTCCGCGTGCACAAAATTCTTCTCGTGCATCCAAGACAGACCGCGGGCAAGACCTCGTATCAAGTTATTCGCCCAAGTCCATGGGAGGCCACCTGGTGATGTTAACTCTTGTTGATGACCATGACCTTGACGAGCACTGCGTGTACGATTCTTCGGACCATCATTTCCATCATTCAGCTCTCGTAGTCGCCGTCGTGCAACGAACTTGCTTGTGCCTAGAAGATCTAGTTGAGATGCTCCGGTTGTTGGGTGTTTTTGCTTCATCAAGTCTCTAATCCTCGGTGAGGGAGATGACGTGGTAGACGAAATATTAAGATAACAAGTAGCATGATCTTCATCACGTGGAAGAGCTGCATACTTCTCTGCAAGTTCCGATAGTGCACCACCATAGCGATTATAAACAGCGCCTGCACGATAGTCCTCCCAGTGCACACTCTCTTGCCGAAATCGGCGAATCGCTTCAGCAAGATTCATACTAGCGCGATCCATCACTTGGACAAGATGTTCACGCTTTCGAAGCTGCCAGTCGACACTCATCGTGAATTGTTCGTACACCAGACACAGCTGTCGAAATCTCCCGTGATGTTCAAAATCACCACCACGTGCGCGGTGTTGCAGCTTTATCAGCTCCAGCTGTGTCTTTCGACGTTGTTCCACCTTCTCGACACGACTAGCGTGGTGGTCATGTTGAAGATCAGTTATCTTTTTCTTCATCTTCTCGTCAATGTTTTTATCAATTTGTTGTTCACCACGACCGTCAGCACCAGCTTTTGCTAAAGCGGCTTCTCGACTTGTAGTTCCAGAAGAAGAAGAGGGAGAAACGCCAGAACTACTTCTACTGCCACAGCTTGACCTTCTTCTAGTACCTAAGACCCCGATGAAGGCACCACCTACGACTCCCAAAGCATTCTGATGTTGATCTTCTTGATCCCTGGTACTATGATCTGCTTTAGGTCTACTTGTACTGGTGACCTGTTCCTCACCTCCGCACTTGTTCATCGTAGACTCTTGGACCGCCGCATTTGTATCTGCCTTTCCCGCTCCTGTTTCAGTTCTCGCCCACTCCTTCAACTCATGGTCTTCTCTGGCCTTGTCCGCATCCGCTAGACTTCGCAGCTCGGCCATACGATCGCGTTCCCTCAATACGCGGTCTTTGATTAGTGAGAGTCATGTCCTTCTCCTTTCACCTCCTTCTTGTCCCCTTTAAAAACTCTAACTCCCTTGTGTTTCTTGGGAAATCCAGGGCATCGAGACCTATTGCTACAAGTTTTTCTACTTCGTGCAACTATTTCTTTGGAAATACAGCGTAATATGGAGATCATCATGCTGACATTAAGAAAGATGCACACTAAAAATGTTGAGCATATTTTGAAGTTTGCTGGTTCCATCGCACGTGAAATCTTGACAGCAATCGCTTCTGGCTGAGAAACGTCCTTTTGATGCTTGCGCCCACGATAGACGTAACCAAGCATGCCTTTGCCCAGCAAGAAACACCCCTTGGCACTACAAGCTACAGGTACAGGAGGCAACGTAGACGCGGTGTTAGGAGGTGCATGATCGCAGATTTGGTAGTACCTGAAGAACAAGCAGAGGACGAAAGTGTTCATTTTCAGTCAAAGAAGCGATGCTGTTAACATTACAAAAAGGTCTTGATGTTCATTTTCAGTCAAAGAAACGATGCCGTTAACATTACAAAAAGGTCTTGGAATTATCTACTCGCACCTACAACTTGTCACTTCCAGAGAACACAACTCAACAAAATGAAGTTGAAGAAAATAATAATCATAAGATCGAACAATACACTCTCTTCGGATCCTTTCGACTGACAATCGGGTGTTTATCCGGAAGATGACAATAGGCTGGTAGTCCTTTAGCCTCGAATCGTTCACCTTCTTCTATCGTTTTCGCTTTTAGCGTACTCCTGATGCTCTCCAGGATGCCGCTCTCCAGGTTCTTCTGCACATCTTCCGTCATCTTCACTCCTCTAAATGAAGCTAGTCCACCAGCACCTCGATCTTGTCGTGCTTCCGATCTTGGTCTCTTTCTCCTAGTTGTAGAACCGGAAACGTTTTTGTTTCCGGTTGCCCCTCCTTTGACTGTAGTTGATACAGGTTCTCGTGCCGACACTGTCGGAGGCGTACCACCTGCGAATTCCTCTACTTGTAAATAAACGGGCTCATAGGCCGCGCCTCGATGTCTTTTCGATGGTCCCTCATAGCTACTACTACTACAACCACCACTAATGCTAGAAGATTCACCACCACGACAGCTAGAGGATGTTGGCGCTGGCCGTTTACTATTCCTCCTGGCAGCAACGTCTTGGCATTGGTCTTCACCTTCAGCGTGAAGATCATTGTCATCATCGTCTTCAGCATGAGCATGGTCTTCTTCATCATCGCCTTCACCACCCCCTCCGACATCAAAGAGCAAGGCACTCCTTCTTGCTGCTTGTGCTTCTTTTTCCTTCTCGATTTTGCATTCCTCCAAAAATAAGCGGTCATCCTCACCGATTTCATAACTTTCTTGATCCTGTTCTTTTTAGAAAGAACTACCTACGAAAAACCCAGCTCGAGACGCATCCTAGAACATTGTATTTTCCCCTTCAGAGCGGTGGCCTCAGGATGCGTGCTCGTGAAGATGGATTTCTTGTAGCCTTAATCTTTAGATTCTTGATCTTGTTCAGCTGCTTCGGATGATGAACCATCCTCATCGTCGGAGGAAAAGATATTGTTGCAGTTGTTTCCATGTAGATTTTTTCCTTGTCGTCCTCGTCTTCTAGGTCTTCTACTATTTCTAATGCCTGCATTCCTTTTCGCATACTGCATTGCGACAGAGGAGAGGCTGCTTCCCGGAAGAGAGGCGCCTTGATGATTAGAGGACCCTCTCGCCGCGCGAGTTGTCATGCCATGCTCATGATGTGGTTACCTCTCGTTTCATGGGGCTCATGGGCCATCCTATCAAATCATGGCTGTATCGATCAGTCTCCATATACAAGTACATCCTGGAGCAGGAGCCGATTTCTTTCCCTTAGAAGAAAGCCCTTTTACCCTTGTCGTCCCCAACGTCATGCATCCTCTTGAGATGGACTACAGAGGCAGAGAAAGAGACCCGCGTCCTGCCACCAGGTGGATCATGCATGACCTATTTCGTGAAAGATGCAACATGATCTACTTCTTGAAATGGAAGATTATACCATTAGCATTACGAGAACTAGGGAGATAGAAAAGAAAATAGGGCAACTATCAACAAGTATCCTGAAGTATCCTGCTACCTGCTAAAACTAGTTATAAGCGCCGGCGCTATCGTCGTCCTGTCAGCCCCAGAGGTCTCACCTTCGAAGGTAGGCCGGAGCCCTGTGAAACGCCTCCGGTGAGTGCTCAGCCCTATGGTTGTGTGTACAGGTTTATTCGCAATGGGGTATCTTTATTATCATTTTCATAACTTCGTCCACACTGTCTTCATTTTCGTCATCCTCCACCTCCACGACTCTCCTCTTCTTGTCCTTGGTGCCTCCAGATGGTATTTCATCTCGTCCTTTCCTTGACCCCGCACGATATCTTTTTCTTTCTCTTTCTCTTCGCAGTCGTTGCTCCTCAGTTCCAGTCTCCTTGCGTGGCCTTCCCGCTCTTCTTGGCCGCGAAGGCCGCTCAGGTCCTCCTCTTTGGGGCTCATCTGCTAGTGTTCCAGGAGGCTCTTTACGGGGCCTTCCTCTTCCCCGCCCTATTTTTTTAGGTGCTGGCTCTTGAGAGTCCTGTTGTTGAGCTTGAGGGTCTGGCGCATCATCTAAAACCGGCCCAACAGAAGACAACTCCAAGGAAGCGAGAGGTATGAAGGGCGTCTATTCCATCTAGCCAGACCATCGAGGCTACCCCTTTCGTTCCCCTTAAAAACGTATAGCCTTAGGGAGGGCCCCTATGGTCTGATAGATGCAAAAATCATCATCCATAAGACGCTTTTTCTGAATTATGCGGTGGATTACTAATGCCCTAACGTTGTTCAAATTCGTGCCTCATGTTAGAGCTCGTGCTGAAGTAGAAGTGGCTAGATGTTGATGAAGATTTCACAACTTGTTCCATGTTGTTCGTAGCAGTTTTAGTTTTTACAAGATTTCTTGAAGATTCTAATTTGTCACTTATTCCATGTCCTGCTGTATAATCATGAGGCCTACGTCGACCTCGACGTAAGCAGTTAGTATGTATATTACCCCACTGCTGTTCTGTTGTTCACCAAATAAATCTACTTATCGTTATCGTTCCCCTTAGCTTGAATTCTAGAAGAAGAAGAAAAAAATAACCAGTTAAACTGTATAATGAAACTGCATTGTCTCAATGAGTATTCAGTGCATGGGAGTGAGTGAGAATTGCGTCGATGTTATGTCATGGCGCCTCTTGTATAGCATTGCGCATCTATGTATGAGGCCATTCATTGAGGAGGTACCTCCTACGGAGAGTATGAGAGAAGATTCTTCATAAAGATGCCCATTTCCACGGCGCCCTCTTTTCACGATTTATGCGTGGTGGGATCTTCCCCGCTTTCTCGGCATTCTTGAGAACATCTTTTATAAAATTTTTCCTCCGCTGCGAAAAATCGCTGCCCGACATGTTCACATTCAATTCCGCAAACACTTCGAAAATTAGAAGAGCAAGGAGCGAGAAACGAACACAAAGAAACCAACACGATTATCGTCTAGTTGTACAAGTTCCTGGAACGACATCAAATGATGAGAGTGACAACATTCCTAACTACCCTGTACTTGAAGTATAAGGAAGAGCTTCTTGTCTTTTGAAATTTCTACGTTAAATATTCTGTTGGGCAGATTCATCATGCATCTTTGCATAAGCCTAGGTCAACCGGCGTCACTCGGGAAGGGTCATTTACTTCGTCCCTTTTTAACGGGTCGAAATCCTCATACTCAGCCAGCAAATTCGACACGGACACCTCTCCAGGCACACGCTTGCGAACGACGTTCTTCGCACTCGGCATCTTGTTGCTCTACTAACTTAGGTGGGCCACACAGTCCCAGGAACCTTATAGTTATGATGATTTGAATCTATTCGGCAAGATGCCGAAGATTTCCCTGACGAGTTCTAGTACCGGCTTTGTTAGCTTGTTGTTGTTGGAGTAACCTTAGTTATACACAAAGGTATCTTATTCATATTCTCATACACAAACAAATAGACATAGACCACACGGAAAGTTACCCACACCTTCTACAAGTCACTCGGCAACTTGTTCCTTTAGGTGATACTTCTCGTCGTAGCAGGAGCTTCTCGTGCTTGTCGTACTTACACGTAGTACTAGCCTACTAAAAGGATCATCAAGTCTCTCTACGACGTATTCGATTGTTTATACAACGGTCAGCAAATCTATGTATTCGCTTGCTTCTTTCTACTGAGGATGTGAATCCCAATCCACTCGGCTATCTGCCCAAGATTTCCCAGACGACCTCTCTCCCTGACGACTTCGCTTATTTCTATCTACTACCTCAATCTTTATCCAGTCTACTCACGAAAAGGCTTACTACATAGATATGATACGTAAATACCTACTCACACTCTAAAACGCTAATTTTTTTGACGATTGTTCAGTAAGCAACAACGCGCAGGCCCGTGGCGTCTCGTCCGCGCGACTGTTGGCGAAATCGTGCGCACTTTCTGCTTTGAGTGGAGCGGCCTTCGGACGGGCCAAGGGGCCAAGATCCGAGGTGGCAGCCACAGAGCATCACCAGGGCGGCCTATTCTTGCCCCCTTTCTGGGGTTGTCCAGCACGAGAGGACACCCAGGACTGCGGAGCCCTTGGCAAACTCCAAAAGCCGTACTCTAAACCGATCCCGACCCCTCACCCAACATGACCCCTGTGCGGGTTAGAGTACGGTTTTTGTGAAGGCCTTTTTCGCGAGACTGTCGGGCAGGGGCGGCTTGTCTTTGCAAACTCCGAAAAGCCTACTCTAAACCATTCCGGGAGGCCCCACCTCCCGACTACTCTGGCCAGCTCCATACTGGGCAGCAGAGGCCGAATGGAAAGAAGGCGAAGACCATCCTACCCTTTGGTGTGTATGCAGGTCCAGCAAATGCCAAGCGCCTTGGCATCAAGCGGGGAAGCTCTGCTTCGCTAACCGGAGAAGCCCATGGCGCGGCTGCAGCAGGGCGGGCCCACACTAGAAAGCAGCGCGCACCGGCAACGGCATGCGTGTGCAGCAGAGCCTAATGCGTTTGCTCACTCTTTGCCCGATAAGGCTCAAAAAATTTCGCGTTTTAGAGTGTGCATAGGCTTTTAATACGCTCCATACTACATTAGTCTCTAATATTGTTGTTGTGTTAGAATATAGTGGATTTATCAACTACCTTCATTGGTTTCCGTAACGTAACAAAAAAACATTACTCTCGAAACGCTTCCTAAAGTTTTGATTGTGGGAAGTTCGCTGTGGGAAGATGAAAGTACGTAGGGAAATGGGAACGATCGGCGGTAGTAATTTTAGAGTTCCGATGAGCTCACGCACGACGGGTAGGGAGGATCAGGTGCCTCGTCTTTAATTAGTCTCTAATATATCAAGAATACCGATCAACCAATTTTCAATCACTCTCTCTTCCATCCATGAGGACGACCGAGGCGATGTCTTGTATCTACTCTCGATTAGAACGGTACCGATCTACTCAGGACTAGCTTACGACTCGTAGACCACGCTGCTCTGTGTCTCCTGTGAGACTGTTGAGAGCACAAGCACATGAGCCTTATAAATATTAATTAGGTCTGAATGTTCATTTTCATGTTGTTGGTGGAGGAGCGTCCAAATTCAATACAAGAAGTTGTTGTAAGTTCTTGTAAACTTTATACACAGCTGCATCTTGTGATTTTTCTACACGAGCACGATCGCATAGTGCAAATGAGTACCAGACAATTGAAACTCTTCGGGGTTCATCTTGGGCGGGTAAACATGTGAGACAATGTTGACGCTGTCATGCACATGTCCTTGTTATGGAGCAGTCCGCGATGAACTTCACTTGGAAAAAATATGAAACGACGCTTTCAGTCTTGAACAAGAGATGTAGCTGGCTCTGCGGCGAATAAAACGTCCACGCCTGTAGAAGAGGTCCTCGTTTTTAGATTTTTACCTCTGACCAGAATGCTCTTCTTCATTTTCCTTGAAGCAAGCAGTGATGAAAACCACGAACATATACTATTATACATCGTAGATCAGCGTAGCCTGGCCACCCAGCCGCGTCTATATTAAACTCTTGTTCGGAATCGGATATAATAAGTACTTCAGAGTAAGTATGCTCTTCTTCAATTACATAGAGTAGAAGTAGCCATCAACTACGCGCAAGACCAAGAACAACGTGTCTCCTCACTTCCCCTGCTCTTGCTTCTTCTTCCTACTGAGTACGAAATTTCGGAACTCGTTGATGTCGCCATTGAATTTCTTCGCTGTGTGGTTCTCAACGTGCCAGATTTCATCACAGACCGCGTTAATAAAATGACTGTCGTGTCTGACCATGACAAGACCACCTTTAAACGCAGTTAAAGCAGCAATCAAAGCTTGGATGGCGTCTGTTGTGGTTGTTATGGTGGAGTTTGTTGTTGTTGTGGAGGTTGCGGATGTGTTGAAGATCACGTGAGGATGAATAATTAGAGAACGGCAAGTTCTCTTCTAGTTCTACCGGGTAATAGTTTTTCTTTGTTCCTCCCTTATTTGGATTCTTTCCCTTTAAACTGCTAGTAGAACAAGGAACAAGAGGGAAGAAAACCTAAAGCTTCCAGCACGTAGAAGTCCATTTATATAAGTAGAATAGGTAAGAAGTGTAAAAGTCGTAAAAATCGTAATCGTGTACCTAAATCCAAATGATTCGTCGGTTCGTCCATCACTAGGATATGCGGATTAGCGTAAGCCAACAATGCCAACGCGACACGACTCTTCTGACCTCCAGAGAGGACATAGAGCGGCTCCACCGCGAGAGACTGCGTAACACCAAAACGTCCAAGCCAATTGCGGGCTGCTTCTTCACCTGGACGTGGGAGCAAGAAGGTGGATAATTTTGTGTTCTTGGCATGTTACCTCCTCGTGGCCCATCGTCCTATCAAATGGCTTTGAGATCTCGTCGGGTGGTTTAGTAGGAGGACTGGTATTTTATTACCTATCTCACAAAGTAGTACGTACTACCTTTATTACCTTCATTATTGGCTTTCGGGTATCGTTCCATTAGGTTCTGGATCGAGTTTAGCGTCAAATCCATCGACTCCACGTGGTGCTGCGTAAAATAGCCGACGCGCAACCGATTGTGACGTCGCACGATGCCACTTATTCTTAGAGGATGGACATGTTAAATAGTGTTAGCAGGAGTTTGTAACTATGACTATCTCAGCACATCTATGCACCATATGAATGGAGTGTAACAGCGACAGGGGTTATGCCTACGAATGCAGTGTGAGAGGGATGCCAGACAAGGTGATAATATTAGAGAACAAAAGCCAGGTTAATCAAAATTATTATAGAGAAGATTATCCGTAACTTCGCTTCATTATCGCCGATTAGCAACTTCAGCATCGTACTCTTTCCGCATCCGTTTTCTCCCACTAGGCAAATCCTTGATTCCAAATCGATATTCATGGTGATGTTGTCTAGGAAGAACGGTTTTCCGCTAACGCCATCGTCGGTTTCGTAAGCGAAACAAGCGTCGTCCATTTGCAGAATTGGCGTGGGAAGTGACTCCGGCTCCGAAAAATTGAAGGAAAGTGTAGGATCTTCGAGAATTTCGTCGAGACTGTGGGGCGTGTTTAGTTCCGTTGGAGTAAGCTAGTGGAGGAGTAGTTTGTTAGTTTCTTTTGGCTTGGGGGAAGTCGAAGATCAAACGAATCAAAATCAATGAGAATGAGGAGTGGGTTAAAATCATGCTAGACCAAGAAGTCTTCACAGCAAAAACAAAATAGGTACTTCATCTAGTCTTATTGCATGAAGTTAGCGGTAGTACTTTGGCAATCGATTAAGCGCCTTTATTCTCGACTGCACCATGCTCGCCCTTTTCGCGTTGTACCGGAATTTATCGATGAATTGCTGCATATGGGCTTTATCTCTTTCTTGCTTTTCGTGTTCTTTCTCCAACAGATTCCTGTTCTGCGCATACAGGGTTTCGAAAGTGTCGAAGTCGCCGCGATAGAACGACAGTTTTTGGAATTGGAGGTGCGTGATGTCTGTGCACACCTCGTTCAAAACGTCTCTTGCGTGAGACACCATCATGATGGTGTTTGGGTAGTTCTTCAGGAAGTGTTCGAGCCAAGCAACAGCGTGGACGTCCAAGTGATTTGTCGGCTCATCGAGAAGCAGAATATCTGGCTCCGCAAACAAAGCTCTGGCTAAAGCAACGCGTGCTCGCCAACCACCACTCAAGTTTTTCGTTCCCATCTTCTGTTTTTGTTCATCGAATCCCAAACCAGACAAGATTCTTCCGGCTTCATGCGGCGCGGTATCTGCATCAATATCCGCCCACCTCTGCTGCAACTCGACTAACTTCACCGCGTCATCGGGCTTGATCGCGTCGCCCTGTTGTTCCAGAACTGCGATTTTCTTCTCCAATTCTGTGCGCTCCACGTCCACGGCCAACACGTGGTGCAAAGGGGACTCATCCGTTGCCAAGTGGTCTAATTCCTGCTCGACCGTAACGATGTGGATGTGCTTGGGGATCTTGGGGTGGTCCTTCTTGGCCAAAGTAGCCAATAAACACGTTTTTCCGGTACCATTGCGACCATGCAAACCGTATTTGCGTCCAATCACGACCTTCAAAGTCGTATCCTCGATTAGTTCTTTGCCGCCGATGGTGACACCGAATTTGTCGATTACCAAGTCGGTTACCTGTAGAAGAAGTTTTTCATGAGCAGGTATGAAAAAATGGTGTGAGCCATCTCCTTATTTCGAAAGCGAGGCAAATTAGCTGCATGGATGTTGAAATTAGACGAGGAGTACAAAGAGGACAACATCATGAGCAACAAATTCATATCCTCGATAAACCACCACAAAAAGTTCTTGTACCACAAAATAAAGTTGTACCTTTCCAATCTGTTCCTCTCCTCTATGAATCCTCACTGGTGCTGGTGGCTTTAATTTCGATGATTGCCATTGCTTCATCCTGTTCATCACTGCCGCTCTCTCTTTCACATTTTGCGTTCGTCTTTCCTTCACCAAATCCGAAATCGCCACGACTTCGTTGTAGTTGGCCTTTTTTTCGCCTAAGCCCATGAATTCGTCTTTAAAACCGACAGAATCTTCATGGCCTGTGCGGAGCATGTCACCTAGGAGAATTGGCTTATTCGACGCTTCGGATCCGCCTGATTGAAAATTACTCCCCTCAGCGGGTTGTGTTTTGCTTTGTTCTCCAGCATTGTTCGAACTGTGGGGAGCGATCAAGGCCAAGAAAATTAGAGGCAGCATGCAGATGTCAACAACGGTCTTCTTGTTCAACAACTACGAATTATGATCATGTTGAATCAGGTGAGTGTGAGTCGTGATGCGGTAGTAAGTTAGAGTTTATTTTCGTATAAATGATTATAGAAAATGCCTACTAGTTGTTCTTCTAGTACAAAAGACGCCATAAAATCTCTTTGCACAGTCCCTTCGCCTTTGCTCCTTCAAAGGATTCTTCTAAGAAGTCCTGCAACAAGTCCCACAAGGTCTCGAAATCCTGGGGATTCTCTTCGGCGATCATGTCTGCTATGTAGTCCTTCTCCTCTAGCTCAGGGACGACCCGCTCTAAAGCGGCCATGGGAGATACAGCAGCGGGGGTAGTGGAAGATACCATTTTGTTGGTCCTAGTGGCTCTTATTTGTGAACAAGATGGTTGTTGTTCTTGTTGGAAGAGGTAGGCTACTTCTTGCAGCTAATTTTTCATGGTACTACTAGTACAACTGGGGAACGAAAAGTTGTAGTTAGTAGAACTAGAAGTAGTACAATGCTGTTGATTGGACAATAATTCAAAAACATCACCAGAATGGTTTCATAATCCGTTCACCATAAGAGCCTGCTAGTAAATTTAGATTAATATAAGTTTGAAAAAGAACAAGATGATATTCCAAGCCACGATCGTATGTACCTTTACGGCTCTTCGACACGAAAAGGAGATCCCTTTCCACCAAAGGACAGAGATCTCAAGAGAAGAACAGCAGTGACCTGACAGTCAGAAAAGATGCTGATCTAGTATCTTCAGTGAATGTCGATTCGGATTCAGGGGTAGGATAAGTTGAAGTCGGCCTTATGAAAGCACAGGCTGTACAGGAACCGTAGCTCTGAGACGGGGGCACACATCGCATGCTGGTGTGGAAAAAGAGTTTCTTCTTTGAAGACGAGTCCTGACCTACGTGCGTAAGCAAGAAGATCATCGAGAGTAATCGAGAGTATTTCTCACAATATCTGGTTTGGGACTCCCTCAAATGGTTCGTCCAACAAACAACTGATAAGACACGACAACATACTGAAAAATGACTCTGATCATGAGTACTTGTTCTAAAGCTAAACTACGTAGATTATATGTACTTAGTACATGTTGTGGGTCTATCTTCATGTCGGATCGGAGTGCACAGACCCCGAAAAATTTTAAATTTCAGTCAAGAAGATCATGATCATACATCATCAGGATCCATGCCAATGCCCATACACCTACATAATTATATGTTTTTAGTTTGGTACTACTAACTTCGATGTATACAGGAGATGAACATTTCTGTCCTGAGTACGACGGGCCAGTAAAAAGGTTCGATGAATTTTCAAAGATGAGCAAAATTTTAGAAGAGATATTACCCAACCTGTCGCGCTGGCCTGTACATTTTTTGCTGGTTGGGTAACTCGTAAAGAGAGGACACGATCTATACTACGGTAGCAGTAGACACTTTTTACTGCTTACATTTATAAGTGATAACGCAAAAACAAATCATATAAGGCGCACGCTATCGCTATCGACGCTAGCGACGCTAAGTACGACAACACATTGATGGTGACGAAAAAATCGCTAGTACCACTCATCATTCACACTATAACTAAGAAAAATATGATTATGGTTCAAAAAATAAAGTTCTAAAATCAATATTAAAATTTCCTTTAAAACAACTATGACATAGTGCTATGCTGGTTAGAAAAAGAAATGTTGACAAGAAATTATTCAGAGCAACGAATACAGATGAATTTTACATGATTAGAGCCACAAAATACTGGCTATGCATCATATGCACATCGTGTTCATGATCGATCATCTTCCAAGTATTCGTCACATTGTTATCCCAACTCACCCTGCTACCATAACGAGCATCAACTCGTGTTCGCATCCCCAAGCATGCAAGAATCACTTACACTTCTGTGATCACAATATACATAGATACTTACAGTACATACTCCTTACTCTGCCATGCACTTGGATCCATCTCCCTTCTCGATCCAGCATGTCGAAGCACATGTCTGTTCCTGCAACGTCCAATTGTTGCTTTCGCTCTTCTCCTCTTCTTTATCCTCGTTCTCATAGACGAGATCCACTCGTCTGTAATAACGCCGCCGACTCGTCCGCGCAAAGTCTGGACTCAAGTCCTCTCGTGTCGGAAGATCGCGCCACTGCATTCGCTTTTCGCGCTTCTTCTCGTTGGATAGGAGTCGTACGCGGTAAGATTGCTTTTCGGCGCCGGGGGTTAGAAGATGACGAGGATGTTGTTGGAGTTTTTTTGGATAATTTGGATCCACATTCATCAGATTGAAGATCCAAGAAACAAAGACCGGCTTTGGCTCCATTAAAAAAAAAATTGTGATTAATATCAATCTCAATGACCTTCACATACCGATATCAAATATCCAACCATAAGTCAATCAGCACTTTGGTAGGCAGCTCCTCAACTGCCAGAGTAGCCACATTCCACCAGCGAATGTCACTGTATTGGGGGTCTGCGCAACTGTCTTTATCCAGCTTGCAGTGTATCAACACTGTGTCACCAAGCCAAAATTTGACCTGAAAAGGAAGGAGACGACAAGGAAAGATTTTAGTAGCGTTGTATAGAACAAGTTAATCAGGTTTAGCTTTAGGATTAGGACCAAACTATACATACTTATTATAGTTGTAATACATGTAGTTGTAATAGGGACGATTCTGTTACTAACTTCTATTATGATCTTGTTCAAGTGAAGAACCGCAACAGAAATTGAAATCAAAGAAACAAGCCTATTCTTCTATCTTAAAAAGAACTACATCAAGTACCGTCGGCGTCGCATCCCTCAAGTACATATCCTCTGTGAAGGCGTGGACAGCGAATTTGTAGATGCCTGGTGGGACGTTGGTCATCGTAATCGTCTCTGGCCCAAAGCCATCTCGATGATCGATGTCTAGCTCCACACGACTTGCGCCCTTAGCTTTCCGCATCGCCATTGACTTCAGAAAGCGTTCGTATCGCCTGTTGGAAAGTTCGCCTTTTTCGACAAGCTTGCGCTTCCGCTCCTGCTCTTGCTTGAGAGAGTCGGTTAACCTGGGGTCGTGAAAAAAGTAGCGACAAGATTCAGCTTCACTAGGGAATCGAAGACAACTTAGGGGGTGTCGAGAAGTAGAGGAGAGCAGATGGAACTAACAAGAAGTGTGAGGATTTTGATCTACATCTCGTCTGTTGTCTTTTGAAAAAAGTAACGACAAGATTCAGCTTCACTAGGGAATCGAAGACCCCACTTGAAGCCAGACGCAGACCACAGACTAGCACTAGTAAGGAAGGAAGGAAGTTGTAGGGTAAGTAAGTAAGTAAGTAAGTAAGTAAGTAAGTAAGTAAAATAAGTATTCACCAGCATATTAAAGTACCTATTGGCAAACGACACACTTCCCGCATGCTGAATCGCTTCTCTCCTCCCATATGCTTTTTCAAGATGCATCAGTAGTGGGGATACCCAAGATACCCACTTGGACCTTTGGTTCACGGTCGGCGTACACTGTTTCTTGTCGTACATGACGACTTTTTTGCCGTTCTTGATCTCGTTTAGGCGCGATGCACAGGATACGATCGGACATATGTCATAGCCTGCTCCGCGAATGTCGAGATTCGTGTAACCACTGTATCGGGGGTGTGATGCGAAGAAGAGCAAAGGATTGCCGGTGGCTGCACGGTGCATTTTTTAGAGGAAATGCAAAGAAGAGAAGTTCTACTCATGTGATGACAGACACTTTCATGTCCAGTAAAATTTTTAAGCATGATGTAGGTGTTCAACAGTTCGTTGAGTAGACGTAGTTGTCGTGAGGAACTGGTGCTCTCTTGGATAATACTAGACGTAGTTCTGGTCGAAATCGAAAACAAAGTATCTATAAGAAAAACCGGATGTCAACATTGAAAACTTCATCTTCTCCTAATTCTTCGCCTCCCCCCTCGGCTCATCGGGATGCGGAAGGTAAAAGGACGTCAACTGTTCTGTATCAGGGTACTTCTTGTACCACTTTTTGAGTTCATCGAATTCGTCGGTTGCGAATTCCCGAGGATGGCCAGTTCCTCGAGACTTGGAGTACACAGGCTTCCCTTTCCGTGTCACGGCAAGTCCATTGTCAAAATAGATCGAATACGAGGGGGTTGGATTGATCTGTAGTACTGGTTGATGATGATTGTACAACGTGAGGGGTTTTAATTTTATTCAAGAGTTTTTTCCAAGAATGAGGTCTTGTTGATGAGGACACGATATTAAGTGCTCACGTTGTTGGACATGAAGATACCGTTGCATAATCATGATTTATTTACATTTTCATTGTTGTAACAACATGAAGAATAGAATAATCAGTACACTCCAAATCCACAGATCGGTGGTTGGTCCCGCATCCTTGCTGGCCTCCACAGAATCTTCTTCACGCTTCGGTGTTCTTTCCTCTTCAGAGTTCAAACTGCGAAATTTCATACTGCTCTGCAAAGCCGTTTCAAATTCATAGATTTGGTCATAGCATTCTGCGTAGGTAGCGGTGGTTAGAGAGTGCTCGTCCTTCTTGGTTTATGGACTTCCTGGACGAGGTCCCTCTATGGAAACTCAACACATCATGAATTACATAATATTTCTTCGTTTTGAAGATTTTTTAGTTCATGTTCTCATCGTTGATCATGTTCTTGTCGAAGTAGAAATAAAACCATAAATAGAGATCCAAATCTTTCGGATACTGGTCCCACCAAAGGACAGCGCGAAAACTGGAGATTTCTCCAACGTAGGTGCAGTCCTCGTTCATGGTACCATGATCCATCACACGGTCGAGAAGGAATAAGAGCACTGGTCGTGGTGAAAGATGATGATGAGGCACAAGAACAACTTCATCTCTTTCTAGTAAACTAAATAAGTATTAAAGTCGAAGTTATGACAAGAAAAAGTGTACTCATACTCAAGGAAAGAGGCTTTTCAGTTTTTCCTACTTAGAAAGCGCCTACTTTCTTGAGCAGGATGAGTACACTTTTTCGCCTCATAGAAGTCCTCGAAGACAAGATCTCATCTTAACAACAAGCTAGTATAGATACGACAAAGTGCAGGGGTATCAGTAAGAAGTACTCTTCCGATTCGCATCGTTTAAGTTTTTCGAAACGAATTGGGTTCCGTAGTCTTGACTGGCTGGTTTGAACTGGATATCCTTTGTCACGTCCTGTTTGGGGGTCACCTGCAACCTTCCGCTGTCGCCAAACTGCCACGTAAACACTGCATGTGACTTGGCTGCCAATTGAGCACCTATCTGCAAAAACCGCGGACCAAACACCGTGTTTTCGATTTTCACCTCTTGAATCCTCGAGAAATTGACCGGTTCTTTCGTCATGCTATCCTGCAGCATGATGGTGATCGGTTCCCCGCATCGGTTCAAGTCGATTGTTTCCCCTGTGGCGACGGAAACCCAAGAAGACTTCGGAGATGCCTCAGCACTTTGTTGATCTCCAGTCGTACTACCAGAGGTGCCAGAAGTTGACGTGCGTGTAGTAGCCACACCTCCACAAGTGAACATCTCCCAGGCTTCATCCGTATATTCGCATTTCAACTGGCATTTGCCACCCACTGAATCTGTGCAAGTACCGTCAGCGGTGTCTAAAACCTCATATCCGACTTTGCGCAACGCGTCGACCGACTCGGGACAACGTTGGCTCGAACAAGGGAATTTCTTAGGGTCAAAGATTGCGCCATCTTTTGCTACTACGTATTTTCCAGTTGCGACTACACCAGACGCCAAATCCTGAGGACTCAGTGCGGCGCCAGCGTCACAGCGCAACTCAACGAAATGCTGGTTGTTCGGCAACACCATGTTGTCAGGACAGTGGTAATAACGGGAATCTTTGAGCGCTGCGAAGACGGAAGGTCGAAAACTACCGGACAAGTTGATCTGGCCCTGTTGTGGAGAAGAACGCTCGTTGCAGTAAGAGCGAGACAACTTGCAAACACACGGACCACCATGTGCTGCACCGCTTCCACTTCCTCCAGGCAGACCAGCTGCTCCTGGTCCTCGCTTGTCGCCACTACTGCGATCCGGGACGTACAGCCAAGAACCCTTGGCGCCACACATGCACGGCTTACCAGCGTAACCAATATCACACTCAGGCATGGCTCGACCGCCGAAGACGCCTGTCTCGGTCATCTTGCCCCTCTCAATCGCCGCTGTAGGACACTGTGTCGGTTCGCACCACTTATCGGTCTGAAAACCGGTTTCTTCCGTCCAACTCTTGGGAGGGTTTGCGATGTGTTGCTTGCAAGTGATCAACAAACCGGGGGTTGGAGATTAGAGGAGGGAGGTCCAGATGTTGGTCTAGGCGTAATACATGGAGATGGGAGAAGGAGAAATGTCCTGATGTACTTACTCGGACAAGGCGAATCGATAAATAACGACTAGATCTTGTAGTGGTAATGCAAAAAACTCCTTTTTACGTCTGTTCTGTCAACAAGTCTGGACAAGTGGAGAAAAGTCACACTACAGCATCGAGAACCATGAAGCGATGGCATTTTCAGTCCATAAGTACCCTCTACCGAAGGAAGGTTTTTCACCTCCACTCCTTCTGGTACTTGAGGTAGCTCCTTCCGCAACACGTGTCCTTCAGGACAAATGATCTGTTCAGTCACACCTTTGTAAAACAGCGTTTTATCCGGTCCAGGGTCGTCCTCCTTCGCTACCACCGTGCCACAGTCTGCTGGAAAGCATTTTTTCAAATCTGGTAACCCAATCGTTTGAAAGTCAAACCCTGGGACAGTCACGCGCCAGTCACCTGACGAGTCGTCTTTTGGTGTGCAGCTCAGCTTGTACGGCTTCCGCTCATCCTGCTTGGCACTCAATTCCTTCTGATAGAGTTCGGCTCGGATGTCCTGCGCGTCGATGGTGAAGCCAATGTCTTCATGTTCCTTGCAGAAATCCTTCGGGAAGTAGTCTTTCAGAGCGAGAACGTCGATACTCTTCCCAACCGGACCACCAAACGGAGCGAAGATGTTATCGCGTGGACAATAGCTCACGATAGCACTACAGGGGTTGCGTTGGAACAGAACCTTGGAACCTGGACCACCCAGGCGCCACACACCTAGTGAAGATGGATTGTGGGAGGTACTCGAGACCGCAGGGTTTGCGACACAGGTCAATTGAAACGTGCGTTTAAAATTGCATTCCGCACACCCATAGCCGCGTGCACAACTCACCTGCTTTTGTTCTCCAATGGTGGAGCTAGGGAGCGGAGTTTCGAAGGCAGGGACTGAAGCGGTGCCTGCAGCATTAGAACTAATGGAAATTATCCATCTTCAGCAGCATCTTGCTGGGTCTCCTTGTGGTCCCTTTAAAAACGGGACCAAGATCACAGCTCTGAAAATGGGAGATAATTTCTTGTACCCTTAACAGTAGGTGCTGCCGCTGTTGGAGTAATATGACTCCCAGGTCTGTTCCCGCGAGACGGATCTTCAGTTGTTCCAGCAACAGCTGGTAATTTTGACAGATCCGGACAGAAGTTCTTCACAGGTACACACGCAGAGCTGAGATCACCTTGACCTTCATAGGCTCCAACATTTGCTGGGTCTGTAGTTGAAGGCACACATTTTGCCCTAGATTAGAGGTAGGTTTTTGGTGCTCGCTTACCCCGCTTATTAAGCCTTTCTCCCTTAGGAGAGGCATAAAAAGCGGTAAGAAAAGCACCTTTAGCCCACCCTCAATTAGACTTGACTTCAGGTCCTCCATTCTTGAAGATGTCAGCTAGCTCGAAGCCGGTGGTACATAATATCGCTACTAGTTCGTTCACAGCACCAGACGCGATAGAGAACGACTCTTCCACGCGACGGGGACAGTAGTTCGGCTTAGGATCACAGAGACGCTCCTTGTTGTAAAAAACTTCTGGTGCATGAGGTGATTTTAATGATGGCTTTGCTGGTGATCCTGAAGATGATGGTTGTTGTAGTATCCGCCACTTCGTACTTTCAGTACATTCGAGCATCTTTTTGAAATTATTGCTCACTGTAAACCCGGCTTGACACTCAACCACGCCTGTGGTCGCGACGGGGCCAGACTTCACCACGTTTTTGTGCGCGTCTTCGACTGATGGACACCAATGAGCGATTTTTGAGCACTGATAAGCCGCCCCATGTCGAAACGAACCTAGAGTGCTGCTGACTTGCCACTTGCCTCTCGTGTAGCCGTCAGCAGCACAAAGCAGCGTGTCTCCTGCTGGGTTGCCAGCTGTGTACCCAGTGGCGCAGTAGTCGCGAACTAGTAGCGAGGCACCGAGATTTCTTGGGATTTTCGTGCTCGCATCAGCGGCTTTCAGAGGCGTAATGGGCAGTTGCGTCACTTCTGGACAGTAGTTTTCCATCTCCTTACATTTCAATGTTTTTGTTCCATCCACTGTCTTGGACTCTTCACCACTGTGGATAGCAGAGAGCTTGTACTCTCCAGCTGGTTCTCCTGTCGGTCCTGAAGCTGATGCTGCCGCTTTCGCGCTACCACCGCTGTTAAGCCCGCAAACCACTTTGACTTCCCAATCTTGTAACGTTTCCTCCAAAAAGCCCTTGCCGCAAACGACTAGCTGTGCTGTGTCATCTAGCTGCAAGTTGGGCAAGGTCGCTACTAAGTTGGTCATGCTCGCCACTGCATGCGTCATTTCGCCAGACTTGCAAAAGCTGTCTGTTTTCGCACAGGTTCCGTAAATTTCCCACTCACCTACGAACTGGTCCTTCAGTCCGCACGTTGCAGCGCGTTTGCGGAGATAGAAATCTCCACTCCAGATACTGCCATGAGACTCGACAAGTTTCGTAAAACCTGGCGTGACACACTTGGCGTGTTCTGCGTGGACTTCGCCGTTGATCTTGGCGGATTTCAAGATCAGCATTTCGCGACCGTTCTCGTCCTTTACTCTGGCATCCTTTGGACAGTAGTGGTCGATTTCGACGCAGTTCTCGACGTTGGGGTATTAGAGAAGGTATGGCCCATATATCAATCCATGTTCTTTTAGTCAAAGTCAAAGGCGTTCATGAAGTAGTTTCTGTACTTCTTGTGATGTCATGATGGTGCCTCTTTTGTAGCAATTAGAAGTGTCTACCTGTGAGGCCATCTGTACTTCTTATTTAACCCGATATTAAAAAAATAAATCGTAGCCCTACCTGTAAGCCCCCTCGTTACTGCCGTCGAAATCGCCACCATCATTGACCGTAGAGGAAGCCGTTGTTTTGCATTTCAAGGGCTTTGTGATTGATAGCTTCTTGTTCAAGCTTTCTTGTGCAGCTTGTGCTTGGAAACCTTCTCCATTGGTACTGGTACTAGCCAAAGTTGGCTTCTCCTTTCCACTGGCGAAGTAGTATGCTTTATCGCACTGCAACTCCTTTTCGTCGTCGAGAGCACCCGCCGCCACGTCTTTGGCCCAATGATTCCTGCCTTCGTTGCGTGCCAACGAGGGACAATATTGCGCGATCTTCGTGCACTCTGCTTTTTCAGGGGTGAATCTGCCTAGATCTGGACTGTCCACCACACAGACATGCTCTTTTTCACGGCCTCTGTTCTCGAAACCCAGGTTGCAACCCACAGAGACTGCGTCGCCTAATTCGGATCCGATCTTCGGATCAAATTGTGCATTTCCATTAGTTACTGGTAACACAGAACAGTACTTTGGACGTTTGGCACAGATACTTCTAGGATCTGGATGCCATTTTCCACCTGCTCGCTTGTTGTTTTCATGATCTCCAGATGACAGTTGTTCACATGTAACAGTAGTCGGCAGCTGTGAGCTCTTGCTCAGTGGGGAGTAGAAGCCAGGTACACAGGAGATCTCCGCTGTGCCACCGCGGACACCTGCAGAAATGCCACTCGACATCCCGCCTGCAGCAGCAACGGCTGGACAGAAGTCTGCAGCCTGAGTGCAAAAAGGTGGAGGATCAAGCTTTCCGCTCATCGCGTCGCCCACTACACAGTACACATCCCCGTCACCAGGAAAGGAAAAGCCGGGTTCGCAGTAATCTTGCTCACGATTCAACGGTAACTTGTCACCAAGTTTCAAGTGAGTGACCTTCTTCGAAGCCAGAAGTGCTGGAAGATTCTTAGAACCTCCGTTTTCAATGTTGACAGCCGAACCTCCTCCGCTTTTCAACAGTAGCGAAGAAACGTCACAGTAGTTCGTGATTTTCTGACAGGACAGCTTTTTTTCTACTTTCTCCGACGTCGATTGGTGAGAAGTGGAGGGCTCCCACTGTCCACTGGCGCCGCACTTCAAAGTCGTTGTAATTATCTTATCGTTCTTGTTGTCACTCGTTGATGTTGCTCCATCCACAGCCACCTCGAATCCCTTCTCACAAGTGACCGTGTAGACTGAGTTGAGACTCAGAGCGTCAGACAAGAGAGCCTTCTCCGTGTTTTTGATTTTCGGAGGTGCAGGACAGAAATCCGTGTTCTTTTCGCAGCGCAAAGTTGTGGGACTAGGAGACCAGGAACCATGATGTGGGATGGATGCGGTGACATCTTGATCTTGCTGCTCATCCTCGCCAGCTTTTGAATTTGATGAAGACGGAGAGAAAGTGCTTCTACACTGCACAACTGCCGTTTCTTCCCCTGTCCGTTTCTTCGATCTCGTGGTATCGAAGAAAGAGAAGCCAACAGCACATTTTACGGTTGCCTTGTCGCCAAAACTACCAGTTGAGAGACTGGAAACAATGTTGCTGCCTGCTGCAAACTGTGGGAGACCGGGACAGAAGTTCGTATGTTCTATGTGACAAATCGTTTGGTAATCGCAGCCTTTCAAGGCTGCGCCTGCGTTATCAGAACTCGCTTCGCAGCTGCAGCTACGGGTGAAAACGTTATTCATCCGCCCGGTCGTTGCGGAGGTCGGAGAGGAAAAAGTTGCTTCTTTGTATTTCTCCCGACATTCGAACTGCGCGTTCCTAGTGCCAAAAGGCAATTTTTCACCAGCACCAGGTGAAAGCAATGCGAATCGCTTCGCATTGTCCCCAGACACTCTAGGAACGTTGCACATGTGAGGTTCACACTTACCCGCAATCTGGTCCACGCCATCGTATGTGCCGTCTTCGTTGCATGTAAGAACGACCTTGCCACTGCTCTTGTCCAACAGGTTCTTCAAATGCTTCTGTTCATCGATATGATACCCTGTTTCGCACAATGCCAGAGGTTTGAGCTCAACTTTCTGATGCACGATTCCCGAGGGAACCTTCACTTTTGCATGCTTCCCGAAGACGAAAGTTGGTACTTCTGCACAGAAATTGGGGATCGGTCTGCAATAACGATCGGCCTCGATTAGTTCGGATAGAAGCAGTTTCTTGTTGGACTTGGAGTTGGAAGTACTAGGAGAAGCAGAACTACTAGTTGTGCCGGCATCTGCAGTAGCTCTAGCTGCTCCAGTGGTCCTGATAATCCAATTTTTCTCTTTTTCGCTGCATTCAATCAAGCCTCGACGAGCTGGTCCAGAAGATGAAGGTGTGCTAACACTAGTTGTGATTCCGTATTCACTCGCAACTTCATATCCTTTATCACATCCAATCTCGTAAATCGATTCAGCAAAATTGTCGCGGTCTTGCCAAGGTTCAGGCAGAGGCTCACCCCGCCAGAAACCCTCTCGCTGTGCTTCTGCGACTGCCAGTTTCCCTGCTCCCACAATTGCAGGACAGTAATTTGCGATTGGCGCGCAGTGTAATTTCTCGTACTTCTCTGGTCGGACCGGCTGCCACTGCCCTTCCTCTGCGGTCTTGGCGACGCAGCGCACCTGAGCATCTTCAGGAGTGTTAAGTTTTGTAGCTTTGCTTCGATAATCGACGTCAGTAGAGTCCCCAGTGCCGGTACAACTATACTCTACGAGTTCAAACACCTCTGGTTTGGGACACTGCAGAGCTACGACTTCGTCAATCTGCTGTCCGAATCCCACCATGATGGGGGCGAAATCTGAAGAGGATGAAGTAGACCCAGCTACTTTGTTACTAGAAGATGTTGAAGGCGGACAATAGTTCTTCTTCTTCACACAGTATTCACTGCTCTTCCCAGCATCGTACTTTTCCATATGCTGGTGCTTATTGTTTCCACCAGTACCGCGTTTGATGAAAAAGCCCAACTCATCACCTCCAGGTCCGATGTCATAAGTCACCCAGAAATCGCGCTCTTGTTGAGACCATTTGGTTGCGTAACCGAGTTCACACTCAAATCGAAACGCATCTCCAAAATGCCAAGATACATCCTTCTGTGCATCCTCATCAACGTACATTCCGTCTGGAATAAGAAAATCGATCCTCGCATGCGGAACTACTACTGCCTCATCGTCCGCTTCTTTGCGAGTGCAGATGACGTTGGGCAGAAACTCCAGATCCCCTGGCTCTGTGGTCCAGACACCTGCTTCTTCATCCTTTTCTTCGCATCGAATGTTTGACATACCACTTGGTGGCTCGAATTGAAATCCTCTAGCGCAGAGATTCGACAATTCGGTGTCCGTGTATTCGCTATGAAGGGTCAATCGGTCTGATTTCAGCTCTGCAGATGATGAGTCTCCAATTCCACTCGTTGACATTCCTCTGGCAAACACCCTCAACGGTGGACAGTAGTTAGCCCGTTTCGTACAACGGATAGCATCCACAGCAACTGGACTGTCAGGCGAAAACCTGGGATAGTAAACGCCTTGATTCCTGCCAGAGGGTGAGCAAATGAGTTCGGCATGATCAGCCTCGAATCCAGGACTGCAAAGATGTTGTTGTTAAAGCTCGGCCTTCAATGGTCACTGACTCTGAACGGAAGGGACCCCCTTCAAGGCTCTCCCCTTTCCCTTCGTTTTCCCCCCATCTTTCCTCAAGGGGTCGCCTCTTCGATCTCAGTGACACCAATCTCAATGGTGACCATTGAAAGTTGAGCCTTAATGTTGGATCTTCTTCTTTTGCGCTGTGACGGACGTGACGACCAAAACGTCCCACAATTGAGCATCTTCAGGAGTTGTGTGTGTCCATAACGTCTTTTCATCCGGTCCCTCGTAGTTTACAGGTATGCGCGGACAATACTTCTCGATTTTCTCGCAGATCGCACTATCATTATCCCACCCTCCGCGCTTGTGGTCTCCCGGCGTACATGTTCTGGACAGAGTATGCTTGCGGCCCTTATCATTCCTGCTAGTTGATGAATCCTCATTCGTATTGCTGGTTCCTGATTGTGTTGCAGAAGTAGTTCGAGTGGAAGATGTCGTTCGCGACACTGTGTATCCAAAATCACAGGCGACCTTTATTACAGATCCGAGCACGGCGTCTTCCCAGGCCAAAGACGTATCCACCTGAGCATTCTTCATTCTGAGTGGTGGACAGTAGGCTTTCTTCTTCTCGCTGCAGAACAAATTCTTCGCTTCGCCAATGGCGTCGTCAGAAACGCGTGCAAAGACGTTATCTACTTCCTGTTTCTTCTTTTCAGTGCAAGGCAAAGCGAAGTGAAATTGGTTCTTCATCCTGGACCCAAAAGCGCCAACCGAAGTAAGACCTTGTTTCTCCGTAGTAGCTGGTTGTAGGTTGGTATTCGGTTCAGCCTCCTCATCTTGTTGTATCTGCAGAGTCTGTTCTTCTCCATTAGAAGTAGTCTTCTTAGCATGCAGATATCCCGGCTCGCACAGGAAGTGAAAGTATCCACCATGAACTGCCGGCGCTTCTTTCACTGATCTAGCGTGTTCAAACTCGAATTCTTCCTGCTGCATGGTACACTCAATCTGCTCGCAGAAGACGTGAGGCGACCAACTACCACGCAACTGTCGGATACGGATCACATTCGGTTTCGGAAGTGTAGCGTCGTTCGCAGATGATCTACTGCCAGAAGATGACGATGAATCACCTAAAATCTGAGGTCCCGGAAACCGCAAAAGACGGCTCATCTCCATATCGCGGCGCAACACACCCTCTTCATATTGAAACTGCAATGCATCTGTGAATTGGATGCGGTCGTTCTTCTCAATCGTCAGCGTCCGGGAGCTCTCGTAAGCGTCATCTTCTTCAGAAGTGCCATCGGATGAGGTCGTGGACCACTGCCCTTCTTGTTCGCCTTCGTCAGCAGCTGTAGTCGTTCGACCTTCAGAACCGCCAGCACCTGAAGATCCTGCGTTGTTCCAAATCTTGCTCGACCACGTAAAACTCTCCTTGAAGTACAGATGTGGATAGGGAGCGGTTTTATCGGTGATTTGGTCCTTGTACACGCGACTCGTCCAATCAACTGGGCCTCGAAACTCCCAACTTACAACTGAATCGTCGCCACTCGTGGCACGACACGTAAACTCACGTTGTAAGTCGAGGCTCTTGTCCGACCACATGAAACTGTCGCTTGGACACTTGAGAGTCAAGCGAGAACCAATGTGCATTTGACGTTTGGAGGTTTCTCGTCGTGACCCTGAAGAAGAGATAATATTCGCATCATCCACAATCTGCAAGGCTGCGTTCTTTTGTGTCGCCAGTCCTTTGAGACTGCAGAAGTCCTCTTTGAGGACGCATTGGCCTCGCCAGAAGGATGAACCAGAACTACTAGAAGAGGTACTAGAGGATCCTCCTTGTTGTGTGTTCAAAGCCGTACTAGGTGGTTTCAAATCCAGGGGTTCGTAACCGATATCGCAAAAACACGAATACTCATCGACTTCCCTAGAAGAGCAAACGCCACGACCGACAGCGGCTCCATCGCAGGGAGTCGCGTTGGGAATCCTCGAGTCCTGTGCGTCCATGACACAGCCTTTGACCAGTTTGCCCGTCGTCCCAGCATCTGGAATGTCACAAGGAGGGACAGGGGATCGTCCATTGTCATCGAGGATGCTCGCGAAGAGGTAAAAGCGTTCCCGGATGCGTTTGCGGAGTGATGATTGGTCGTGCGTACTAGAAGTAGTACTGGAATCATGTTGCTGTTGGGAAGATGAGGGATCATCCTCGTCTTGATCCTGCTCAACGTCTCCACCTCCTGTGACAGAATACGCGCTCATATCCGCACCAGCATACTCTACCGCACGCAAAAAAAACACCCCAAGACTGTCGTCGACGTCGTTCTGGTAGACGTTGCAGAACCGCCGAAAAACGTGCTCGCCTAACGGAAACTGGCTGCCGCTAATCAATACCGGCGATCCGGTCTGTCTCTGCGAATGGTAGTCGTAGCCTGTCCTTGGAAAGCGGAATTGCAATTGCAACAGCATGCGGTCTTCGCCGTAATAGGGTGATCGCAAACTACTCACAGGTTTCAGAGGTTCATACTTCGGAACGAAACGCCAAGTAGCAGTCGGAACGTCGGGTAACGCCAGTTGCAAAGTGCCAGGTTGGTCACGCACAGCCTCATAGGCTTCACTGTAGAGGTACTTGAAAAAACCGAGTAGCAACTCTTTGCGCAATTTGTCCAGTTTCGAGCAAATACGTTTGCGGAATCGATCGGCCAAAAAAGATGGTAATGGGATAGGCGCAGTGCCAGTTGCTCTACCACGACCAGATGATGTAGTTACAGCGCCGCCAGTGCCAGAAGAACTAGATGAAGCTGCTGCTTTCGCTCCTTCTGCTTTCCCACCAACAGCAAGACTACCTGTTGTAGTCGAACGACGAAAAGTCGGCCGTCCAGCAGCAGTCGGAAGTGCGGCAACTACGCTCATCAAAGACCCGCTGGAAGAACTGCGGGTGATACCTCCTCTAGAATTTCCACCTGAAAAACCCGACGAGGGCGGCTTTG